GTGTCCTCTCAGCCTTCATTTCCCGTGTTCAGACGGGTTCCCTAGGTGGGGATCTTCTCTTCCATCCCATGGGACCACAGCTGCTTTGTTAGTTATTTGAGAGACGCCTTTCAGAACTAGCTGGGGAGCTCCAAGTGGACTCATCGCCTGGGTCTTACAGTCCACTTGCTTCAGAGAACTTTGGAGAACTCCAAACAGGTTTGTGAGGCGTGGCTTTTCTTCCAGAAGCTGCATTGCATCTCAGCCAGTGCACCTTCTTTATGGCTGCCGATTCTGATCCTGATTACAGTTTTCCATCCGTTTGGCTGGAACATGCTGGGATTGCTTGTCTGTACTTTCCTGTCTTTCCGTCTTCCTGATTTCTGAAGACAACCCCTGGCCAGAGTACCCCGCAGCGAGCAAGGCCACGGTGTGGTGACCATCTGCCGGCTGGTTTCCCTGGCTGGGTCTGCTGTCAGCAACAGGGCAGACAACACCAGGCAGTTCCCCCCTTTTCTGCTGGCAGCACAGGGCTGTGGCCGGCGAGCTGTGTGCTATCCTGCTGGTGCTGCGGGTGGGAAGGAGATGCTGGTTCACGGCCTCTTTCCCCACGTCTGCGTTTGCCATGGAGCCTGTTCTGCAGCCAGATGTGGTAAAAGTCACCATCTTTATTTCCACTCTGATACTGAAACTCCATCCTCGCTGTGGTCAAAATTGGGCATTTCATGTTTTGTTGCAATTTTTGGTGTACCAAACATTTAACAGTCTAGTGGGTTTTATGGTATTTAGCATAATCAGAGGCATTTTACAGCCATTTAATAAAACCTCCTTTGAGTTTTGTACTTTTCTGCTTCTCACCGTCTTAGACTCTCGCCCTTTCATACGTCCTAGGTTTTTCTAAAGGAGATTGTCCTTAGTATTTTTTTCTTCTCCTCCTTTCTCCTTACAAAATCTTCTGCTTGAGCTGTGTAAGGTGTGTGTGCAGGAGGCAGCTGGAAACTCACAGCGATCAGTATTACCTGATGCACCAGGTAAGGTGAAGTATCGATACCTGTACGGTTTCTGTACTTTCTCCTCTTCTGCACTACATTTTGTTGTCTTACAAGTACTCTTTCACTGTTTCTTTATGATTCTTACCCTAAGCTATTTTTTTAAGGGAACTAAGTATTCCAGCTCCCTCCATCAGCCAAAATAACTAACTTTCATTAGTCAGAAGTTATTATCAGAATTTGAGTGGCACGTGATAGATTTCTAGAATACTGAAAAGAAACTTCTGTGGACAGCCATTGCTATCAGCCACAACTTTCCACCCTGTCAGCTCCGCCCATCTTGGATCTTTATGTTACAGCTGGATGGCTCAAACCATGTTTTATTCCTTACTCTTTAGATCCCCCTCACCCCATCCCACAGTGCTCTCCCAGCTATTTTTATATTACTGTGTCCTTGCCTCGGTAGAGCTATTTTGGGTAAAAATCACTTTGTCTCCCAAGAAGTTTGCCAGAGAAATACTGTAGGACAACATGCAGGTGAGCACCTCCTGCAGAATTCTACCCATTTACGCTCCTGTTCGTGTGTGTGTATGTATGTGAAATTGCCACCGTGTGCTGTCCTGGCTAGAGCCAGGAGGGGCTGTCAGCAGACCCTAAACTCTTCAAAAATCTGGCGCTATGGCTGTAACTTGGTCTTGGTGAGTTTCTTAACCTCTCCTGTCCTCAGTTTCCTCACCCAGGAATAAACAAACAGTATTAACTTGTCTTTCTGAGGTGCTTTAACACCTTGGGTGGAAGGTTTTCTCAAAGCGCATCGTGGTTTTGCTTTGTCTCATCATCTGGACCCCTTGCAACCACCGTGCCAGACTAACAGAAACCAACGGTTGTGTTTTTCTGTTCTTAGTTGCAGAGATATTTTCTCGGTCGTTCTCGGTTCCAGTTGCACGTATCAGGGCACAAGAGCTATGGTTCTTCAGGATGAAAAACAGCTACACTGATGAAGCTGAGCGGAACGGCGTTAAGGTATGCGAGGGGTTCAGAACTGAAGTAACATAGATCTTAAAACTGCTGATGTCTGTAAACACTGGTTTTAATATGTGAAATGATGCGTGCTGAGGATCATGAATCGATCAAATTATAGCGCAGGGTGTAAGATGACAGCGTAAACCGGGGAATGGCAGCAGTGCCTAGTTTGTACTACTTACCTCTGGTCTGACAGCATTTTCTGTCATAAATCTGTTTGGTTTATAACTAGGCCATAAAACCTCACTCCAGGCTGAAATGTAGCAGGATATGCTGTAGTTCAAAAATCATGCTTTTGTAGAAAAAATACATCAGTAATTTGTAAATTAAAATCGCAGCACTCTTAAAAATTATTTACCTTTCTCTTGCACTCTTAAAACTTGTGCTTTTCAGACTGGATTTACATTGCATCTAAATCTGTGTGATCAGCTCTATTTAAAACTTGCAGCCTCCTTGGCATCGTCACATTCCTTCTGCAGGGTTTTATATATACAGGAGTGACTTAACTCTCAGAAAATACTCCCTCATACTAGTTCTAAGTAGCTGGAGGAACTTGCTGAAACCCCACAGGAAGCCAGTGAGACTAAAGTGAGTTTGGGGTTGGTTTGTTCAAAAGGTAATAAGTTGTTATTAGCCAAAACTGAAGAGGGAGTTATTTACAGTCCATGGCTTCCCTCTGCTAGAAGTCAGGCGATCTAATGTCAGTTAAACCATGTTTTGTCTTCATAGTCTTAACGCTTCATCTGATCTTCCTGATACTGACCAGTCTCGCAGTCAGGAAACAAGCGCGTGGAGCACAACAGTCTGGCAAGTCCCCGTGTTTCTACCGATTACTGAAAGTCCATCAGTGTAATCTATTCTAAACTGATCTGCTTTAACACATCAAACAGCATACACACCCTGCAGCCCTCGATTAGTGGCAAAACTAGGAGCTCTCTTTTAGAATGACAAGAGCTTTTTGTTTTGGTATCACTAATGAAATAACAAAAGGATGGTGGTGTCAGAGGACCTACTGTGATCTGTACCGTCTCTCGCAGTCACATTAGAGATGATCTGTGAATCAGTTTGACATAGTTCATCAATTTGAGCTATATATGCTGGATACACGTCCCAGGGCACATGCCGGAAGGGGTGTTCTAATTACCATCAGTTCCAAATCCATTCAATTTTCTGCAGAATGAAATAAACTGGAAGGAATAAAACACAGAGAAGGAGGGAGAGTGAAACATCAGCTGACAAGAGACAGGTTGGAAGCAACCGGCAAGAGCAGATTGCCTTCCGTTTGTTTGCCAAGTGGTGCGTACCAGGAAGAAGACCCGAAGAAAACTTCTAAGGCAAAACAGGTTATGGTTTCTTGCTCTTCCATAGTGGGGAGGGTGCAGCAAGGAGAGCGGCTCTTGGAGACCTGCAGTTCGGGCCACCCTGCTTTGCCCCTGACAGGGCGGTTCACCCTGTCCCCAAAGGTTCGGGGTATCCGTGGGGCAGCTGCAGCTACTGCCATCCGGTGTGGGAGAGCGGAAAACCGTGGGTTATAAAGTGGGTTTAAATGACAGTGAGTTTGGTCCCAGTTCTACATACCGCCTCTGAGGTTCAGCTTCTTGGATTTCGATGTTTTAAGGTGGTACCTTTGTTCTAGCTTTCATGTTTGTCTCATGAGACACCTTTCGTCACCTGAGGTACAGCGTTTCATGCAATAATTACTGCTGCTGATTACTTTGAAGAAATTAAAGATTTAATATTTGTGAGGCAAAAGGGAGAATAGTACTGTAACTGAAATCTTCTTTATTCACAAGCCCAACGTAACCCAGTAACTCACACCGTGAGGTTCCACATACAGCAGCAGCACTGCCCGCCCCCTTGGCTTGCAGGGACCTGCCATCTGCATGTACTTCACAGAAGGATGCCAGCTCTAACTCCGCTCTTCTCCAGGGCATAATTCCGTGGAACCCTTTTCACATCCCAGTTTCAGTGCGATCCAGGGTCTCCAAGATCAGCGATGAACAGTGGAAGGCAGGGCTTTTCGCAGGTGCAGTGCTGTCATCTTTTTGGCTACTATGGCTGGTACGGTAGTACCTGGCGCTGTGACTCCTGGATTTCAGAAATTTGGTCGCGTCGTTTCAAACCGTCGCTGCCTGGTTTGTGGTCTGTTGCCTCAGGAGGGTTGCTCCTTCAGCCTCTTGCAGGGTGACAAGAGGCAAGACAGAACACTTTAGCCTTAGCTACATCGAAAGCATGCTGCTATAGGCAGCGAGTTTTTTGGATAAGCTTTGCCCTCCTTCCTCCCACCCCTGATTAAAAACCAGCAGCTTGATAGCACAGCAGCAAACGCACATTACTATCAAACAGAATTTTCACTACCGTTTTCATATTAAGATGAGAAGTCAGAACGTGAAGTTCACTAGATCTGCACATGGGACTATTCTTGCCGTTAAAGGGCTTTAGGCTGGAAGAGAGCCCAAAATTTTAAAAAGAAATGCAACATTTCCAGATCAAATATTAATTACATGCTATATAGAATCATATTTTCCCAACAAATTTTATAAATAAAAAGCTAGGCCTTTCAAACCATCAGCAATATTAGTTTTGGATTTGAAAGATTATGAAAGATAAACAACCACGTAACTGTGAATTAGAAAAATACTGGCCTAGGTTGCATAAAAACCTCCATTAAATAAATACCGTAAGTTTTCACTATGAAAATTCAGTGGCGTTGTACTTTAAAAAACTATAATGAATTAACCATCCCGTTAATGATATTCGAATTGTTTTTCACAAACCACATACACATACAGGAAGTCAGATGGCCAAAAAAGGCTATGTATACTGGATTAATACTCAGTTCGACAAAAAGTACTCTTGGGAGGCTTCGCTCCTTCGTCACAGCATCCCCGCCGCAGCTGTCAGCTCCCGCTACCCCTCGCCTCCCGCTTGCTTTGCTGTCCCACAAGGTCCAACACCCCGAAGGCCGACACGGCGGGCGACGTGATTGCGGTCCTCTGCGTTCATCCCTCAGACCACCCCTTGAACCTCAGGGTGACCTGCAGCGAGCGGTTCTGGTTTCCAGTCTGGCTGGAAGAAGTGAATGTTGAATGTCCGTGCCCAGTTCTCAAACACTCTTTTCTCTGTGATGAAGCGATGATGACTGCCCTTTCGTCCCCGCTCGTGGGACATGTACATTGTGCATTCATCAGGTCCCAAAGGTTCGTAGTAATGATAAGGTACTGAAAGATGATTAGGATCCCTGTGGAAGAAAGAAAATAGATGGAAGCCTCAGATGTTCTTTTTTTACTGATTGAAAAGATGCTATCTTTAATAAGCTGATGGGCTCAAATCCACTTTTTCTCCTAGCTAAACCAGATTTCTAGGTAGTTGTATCTTTCTTGCATATTTAATACATCAGACTAGGGCAAAGGTGTTTTTTTTGCTCTTCCTATTGCTCTCCTTTAATCCCCTCCTCCCAGTTAAATAAAGGACAGCAGTAGCTCAAAACCAGGGAAGAGTGCTGCAGGGCTGTGCCATTCCTCTGAAATCTGAAGCAAACTGCTTAGAAGAGATTTGTGTCTAGGCTGTGATTTGTAAAAAGCCTTGCAGAGGTACTGACCGAAGTGGGGGAAGGGGCAGAGAGAGGGGAGGTGGTTTTGTGTCACGTCAGCTCAGTTGAACGTTCCCTGCGTGAGGTCCTGAGCGCACAACTTCAACGCCCCTCTCTGCAGGCCGGGTCGGCGATACAGTCTGCCGGTGCTGCGTTTCCAGTCAAACGTGTGTGGCACAGATAAGTTCTTTTTTGATTTTACGATGGCAACTTTCAGGTATCTAAGCTAAAAATGAAAACCGGTCGCCCACAGTGTCCGTCTGACCTGCTGAGGCCATCGGCATTAAGCAGCAGGAGATGCAGTACTCGCGCAGGGACACACAGGGCACCCGAAGGACGGATTAGATGTTTAGGATAAGGTTCATTTTAGCAGTTCTAACATCAGTGTTTTGATGTTACGTTCCATAGAAGACACATGCATGCTGTACTGCTAGTCAGCCGGAGCGAGTCATCCTCCTTTTTTTTTATTCTCAACACTAAACTGCACCCATCGTGCTGTTCCTTTGGGCACAGACGTTCTGGGCTGACTACAGCTTACACCACGGTGTAACCCAAGTGTACCCATCTCCCCAGCTGCTACCGACGAACTAGCGTGTTGTGGCGGAAAAGTTAATCCAAATGTTGCCATTTAGTGAAGCCTTGGAACTGCTCCATGTTAAGGCCGGAGCTGGACAGGACCCTAGTAGAAAATCTCATGCAGATTCAGGGCTGTCAGCTCTAATTCAGAGTTGATTATTTTCATTTTGAAGAGCTAATATTTAAACTCCCTTTCAATTGCATGCATCCACAATCTGTCAGTATTCTGTCCTGGTCATTACTTTTACTGTGTAATTCTGTCACCCACGCAATCCTCTAATTTTTCTTATTTTACCATTATCCATATTGTGTGTGCAGTGGCAAGGTAGGATATTGCTGCTGCTTTCCATTTGTACTGCAGATTAACGTTTTAATTCAATCAATCTAGCTTCCTGGTAAAACAGCACGGTGATCAATCTTACAAGACCAGAATAACAATAAAATTCCATTTCTAGCATAAGATGGATTCTAAATTTACTAAATATATTCTCACTGGAGTACATAAGAGAGAAAAGAGATCCTTCAATACCTCACCTACAGAAAACACATTTGTAATGTAAAAAATACCTTTTATATAGAAATGTATTTTTTTTTTTAGCTACAACTGTTCAATCTCAATCTTCAATTAATTTTTTCACATACTTTTTTGATATCCTGTTATTACAATGTTGTAAATGAATCATATAGGATACATCCTGTGAATCTTACAGGATACATTTTAATGTAATTTATTTTTTATTCAGAACTACTACCCAAATAGACCTCTGCCTCTCAGGCTGCTCTTCCTTTCTGCACTGCAGCTGGGTTTTACCCTTGTGCTCTCGCGGGTAAGCTGTAGTGCTTGGTGGGTATTTACTGCTTTCAAGTTAGGATTAGTAAAGCTGAAATCATCTCTCCAACAGGCTTTGAACAACTGCAGTCATAGTGGAAACAGGTGAACTGCTCAGGGCCCAGTCCTGCCAAGGGAGCTGCTGGCCCCCACACATTGGGTGGATTTGGTGGGATCCTCCCTCCCCCACCCCACCCCTTCCATAGGAAGGCCTGAGCGTGCAGAGCATGAACTGAAGAGCAAAGAGCAGGAAATTCATCGCTGTATGTCTCTTCCCCGTCCCCCTGCCATACGTGGAGAGCAGCCGTGGCTGACAGTGGTAGCTGCAGTCAGGTTTCTCACGGAGGATCTATAGGAACGCTGCTCCATTTCTTTTCTCCCCAAGTATACAGGTAAGGAGGTAGGTGGATCAGATGGGGAGAGGAAGGAGAGAAGGCTTGCTGAGTGGTCCTCCTTCCCCCTCACTCTGCTAACTCATATTTACCTAGGGTTACTCTTCCGTTACCTCTCTGACGTCTGTACCTCCCAGTAAGGGCTTTCTCTCCTACCGGGGGATGTTTTAGTAGTGGATTTCCCTTTGGAAGACAGGGATTCTACATTACATCGAAGGCTCCGGAGCTAACAGCAGCATATGCTAAGCGGATGCCCTTAGCTCCAGGCTGTACTGGGTCCCTACGTTTTGGCCGGTGCAGAACGACGTGCTGTGCGGGGCCTGGCAGGCGAGGGGCGGAGGAGCGCAGTCTGGGCACCCTGCTGGGTTCGGGCGTCCCCTGACGGGTGCTCTCAAGGCTTGTGTGCAGGTCTGCTGGCTGAACCGGAGGGGAATTCAATGCAGAAATGAAAACGCTGGTGGCTTTAGCCCTCTCCAGCACTACTCTGCTGCCGACTGAGGCTAAATCCCAGATGTTTTCCTTTGGATTTAGGCAGCTAGGTACCTAGGGCGTTTTGTCTGAAGTCTTCCTCCTTTCGTGGGAGTTCTGGATTCTCCCAGACTGCATGCTGGTAAGGTCTGGATTTGAACTCTGGCTTGAGTAACGACACCGTAACCCAAATTAACTGTACTGTGTTATCTTCTAACTCTGCAATTAGCTTGTGTCACCAGCAAATGAAATGCATGAGTAATTTCTATACGGAAATTGCTTGCCACCTCATTTATTAACATTAAAACAGATGCTGTTTTATCACTGACTGATACTGGACATTAATCAGTATTTTGTCAGACCGCATGCATATTAATCTCACAGCTGGGAGGAATCTAGGGAAGTTCCTCTGTAAAATACACCGTACTTCCTGCCTCACAGCCTGCCAGCACAGCAACCGGCTAAGCGCTCACACCCAACGTCAGTCATCTACTGTTTGCCACTTCAGTGCACATTTTCCCACAGATGGTATCCACCCACAGCGAAAGCTGAAAATACAGCGAAGAGTGTTTGCCTCAAAAGAAACAAGGCAGAAAAACAAGGCCATCCCACATCACATTCTGGGCAACCTCTTCCTTTATCAGTGAAGAACTGTAAAGAATCAACCCACTAAACTGTAGGTACTTATACGCTTTGTAGAATAATTCATATTTTGGGAGGGTGAATGGAGTGTCATTAGCATGTTGAGTGATGGGCAAGGTGCTGTGCCAGGCCTGTGAAGATTTCTGGATAATGTTTTGCCTTCTGTTCCCAGGATTCCATTTCCTTGACCTCCACACTAGCCCTGTTTCCAAAGGCATTTATGCATTTGGTTATTAAGGTAATGAGGTGAGGTCCAGGCGTACGGACCAAAGGGCAGGACTGTCCCCCACATGGTGCGCGCCCCTTCCTCCGCCAAGGCCCTCGGAAGCCCCAGGAAATGTAACCAGCAACAGCTGCCACTCTGCACTTGATTTAAAGCAATTGAAAGTGGAGAGAGGTAGGTAAGAAAATAGTAGATTTAAAAGCTGTACCCAAAGGAATAAATTAAAAGAGTTTCAAATGCCAATTTTCAGGCAAATTATCACTGATGGGAAATGGCCCGGCAGTCAAATGAGGATTCTTAAAGAAAAATGATCTAGCTGCATAATTGGAGCAAAAATTATTCATATTAGTTAACTAAGGCTCAGAATTAAGCTTTGAGTTTTTCTGTGAGTTCAGAAGGCCCATGAAGAGGAGTGTTAGAGAGGGCTCTTCTCACAAAGTTGTCCTTGTGTGCCTGAGCACCCGGAGACAGCTGCAAGGAACCAACCACTCGCTGCTGCTGATACTCGGGTGGACAGGGACTGGAGTTCCTACAACCCGCAGCGAGGCTCGTCGGCCTTCGTCCCACCGCTGCAGAGCAGGCAGGAAGGCAGGCGGCTGCACCGCAGTGCTTCGGGCATGGTGGTGCTACCCCTGCACCCCGCTCTGGCCGCTGATGCAGGGAGGCGAGAGGAAAACCCATGTCCCTGTTCAGGAGTGAGCCCTGTGCACACGGCAGGCTGCCAGAGGGAGCTCAGAGAGGGAATGCTTCCCATCTGGGGTGCTGGTTTGCTCCAGCAAAGGCTAGGATTAGATCCCTGGGCACCGGAAAGCGCGCAGCAGGATGGCTTGTCTGTCTTGTGACGAGAGCGCGAGGTGCGCACGCTCTCCAGAACCTCTGCGGCGTGCACGGAAGCGCAAGCTTTCATCTTACTCTAGAATGTGCAAGTCAGATGTATTTAACAGCACGAGAGCGGCACCAAAGCCATTAACCCTTGCTACAGCATACATCTGCAGCAGAGCAAGGGATTTGGTATTACATACAGCTTTGCTGTAAAGCCCTAGAAATGTATAATAATCAGGTCATCAATTCCCGTTCAGCTATAAAAATCAATGTCCAGTGACAGTAAATAGAAATGAATCTAAAACACGTTGTTGCAATTAATAGTGACAAATCTTCTAGTCTGTACTCCAGACTCCTTCACTAGACTATTTTTCCTGCATGGGTGGGAAGCAATTTGGTTAATGATCTTAAGCTAATAATTTGTAGCAGAATCAACAGTATGATATTCACGATACCTTTGAGATGTCCTTCACGTTACAGATGTGATACTAATTTAGTTCCATGACAGTGATCACCCACACTCATTACTTACTCCACAAATTAATACTTAAAAAATAATGGGTATCTGCTAAAGTTGTAAATTTGATGGTATTAACTCTGAATAGAAGTGTTGGGTTTTTTTTTTAAATCTTAATGATTCTGTAGTTGCACAGGATAAAGTACCTGTATTGGTTCACACACATGAGAGGTGGAGTGGGTTTTTTTATTGTTTTATTTTCCCCTTTTTCTTTTTTAAATGATAGATTTGTATTTTTTTCAGCCTGAAAACCAGGAAATCTGGCTTAAAATCACAGAATATTTCTTTATTTCTGCTATTCCATTTTGCTGTCTTATTTCTCTGAGAGGAAGTGCTGTTTAGCTTCCTAATGAATGGCTGAAGAGCCAACGAAGGTGGTTTAACTGCATTTATGGCAAGAGCTTCCTTGCATAGATCTCCACAGGCAGCTTCTTCCAGGCATGGCAAGTACAGTTCTCCCCTTTGGTTTTCCGGAAATAAACCTGAGGTGAAGACCCTTTATGTTCTTTTGATTAAGAAATGACCTTTTCCCTTTTAATGACCAGGCAAGTGTACATTTATGTTAAGATTTTTCATGTAGGCTGTAAGCACTATTGCATCTATCAATGTAGGACTGATTACAGCCTTTCTTGTGTTATAATTTAATAGTATATCCATTTGATGTCGGTGTATCAACCCTATGAAAGCCTTTCTCAGTGACAATTTCAGCCTCTCTTAAAAACAGTTGTGTGGTTTTTGGTGGGGTTTTTTGTTTGGTTTTGGGGTTTTTTTTGTTTTTTTAAATGAAGTCTATGTATTCAAATCTGACTTTGCCTGAAAAGTTAGGATTGAGCACTGCTTTACAGTGAATTGCTGTCTTCTGCATTTTTGGCTCATCAGTTTAGTTCAGCATCACGTTCATGTGCCACTGGAACACAGCCACTTCTGGGGTAAGCCCGACCAGCCGCTTACTGAAGTGTCTTGGCCAGCTGAAACGACAGGGGAGCCGGAATGCTGTGCTGTGGAAGGTATTTATGTTGTCTGGAATACCTGATCTAGTTTGTTATTTTCCTCGGAGAATTCGTGATGAAATCTGGCAGCACATTACAGAATTTATCATCAGTGTTTTGTTATAATTTGTAGAAATTCTTACAAAGTGGAATTTAGTGCTGACATTTCATACTGTAATTTCTTCCGGGATTTCTACTGTGTGCCCAGGACAAATGGAGATTCCTGCCGGATCTTTTTCAGTGCTCAGAAGAAAGTCAAAGCAGTCCTGTTCTCTGACAGATGAGCTAACCTGTCACTGCAGCCTTGCTCCCCCTGCCCCTGAAAGGCATCTTGATCTGGTCCGCGAAGCAGACTTCAGTGAGGTCGCTAAAGTTGCAACAGGGAATTCAAGTGAGTACTTCTTGGTGAAAGGGATTTGTGAGCAGGTGATGAAACGTTCCAGACTGCCAGTACCAGCTCGCTGCGCTGCTGGGTCACCCCGCAGTGCGACGGGATCAGGACTAGCTGTGGGCACGCAACCACATCGAACGGAAAGGCCAGAGCGCTAGGACTAGTAACGGATGGGCAGGGGACACTTCAGCCAGCAGAAGGATTGCTGATGTAAAACTCTATGAATTTATACTGGATCAGTGCTTTGCATCAGGTGGCTAAGCATGATTTTGGTCCAGCACCAGAAGTCCCCAAGACTGCCCCCCTCTAGCACTGACCACAGCAGGGAAGTCTGACCAGCACGCTGGGCCGGAGCGTGGCTGGAGGCGCAGCGCAGCACGTGCTGATACTCGCTACGACGGCGGGAAGGGGCTCACGTAGCTTCCAGTGACAGGATTTGTGTGCTGCTTCTGCCACTTGTGGCCCACATCCCCCTGCGTGACCCAACTGGGTGATTACAGCACTGATCTCTTATTCCGCAGGTTCAAATTCTGGGTTTCTGTTGGTGGGGATTATTCAGGAAGCTAGTTTACTGGAAGATTGGGATTCATGTGACAGAGATACAACCACCTTAATTTGAAAGTTCAATTTAGAAACTAGTTACTGTGAGAACTCTGTTCCTCTGTTAAGTGGGGAGGAAACTTTAAAAACAAAAGTAATGTTTTCCAGTATTCCTTTTTTCAGATTAATTTCATGCCAATTACTGCATTACTTTTAGCTGATAAATATTCAGAGACTAGAAGACACCAACAAGATGGATTAATTCTCCCACATTACAAAATTTTTTAAATATTTTATATAACATAATTAAATGCTGTTTGTTGTTTTCAGAATCAGGTCTTGGGACATGTTAATTAATTGCTTTAAGAGGACTGAAGACGTTGCAAAGAGAGGAAAAAAAAATAAAGATTCAGATATTTATCTGTAACGTTCAACCTCGTTGGCTAATAATGGTTCCAAAATAAATCCTACCTGCAGAAATCCGGTGGCACCATGCCATAAACATTTATCCTGTCACAGAGCTCTAATGCGATAGTCATTGTGAACCAGCCCGTGCTAAGCCAAGTGTTGGATATCTTCCTGAAAGCAAAAACATAATTAAGTTTCTAGGCTGACAAATAATTCTTGAGATATCTGAAGCAATTTCTGGGCATTTTGTTTGTTCTTGTGAAAGGTTATGAAAATTGGGCAACCAAGACTACTTTGCTCATTCATCTTTTAATGATTTTGCTAGTGTCTTCTGCCAGTGCACTAACCCACGCTGAAACTACCCTTGCTGCAATTAATTTTGGGCACAGCGATGTTAATGTTTAGCTGACCTTTTGCTAAGTTTACCTTAAGTCAGTGAAACTTCACATCCTATATTCTTCTGCTACTAATCTATACACATCTATAATCACCTAATAGAGCTTGCTTACACACTAAGTGCTCAGGAAGATGCCACGGAGCATGAAGAGGGCTTAAAATGCTGCCTCCCACGGCACGGAGCAGCCCGTCTGCTGGAGCGAGGTCTGGCCTCAAGCACGTGGTCTAACCACCTTTCCTCCCACCCCGTCTAGGATTTGGTTTCTACTAGGCAGCCTGGGAAACCTTCGTCCTAGGTGCTACCCCTCTGCCTGCCCCCAGTCCCATCCCTGCAGGGGGGACCTCTGAGTGTGAGCGAGAGTGCAGCAGCGCCTTTCCTGGCCCCTCTGCAGGCTGGGAGGCGTTTGGGAGAAGCACAACTGATCCAGCACTACTTACACAGGATAGGAGATATCATAGAATCACAGAATGGTTTGGGTTGGAAGGGACCTTAAAGATCATCCAGTTCCAACCCCCCTGCCATGGGCAGGGACACCTTCCACTAGACTAGGTATCTCCATGTACCTGCTCACAGATGTGAGAGATTTACAAGCTGTGCTTAAATTTTGCTGCATCACAGGTTCTTACCGGCAAACCAGTAACAGTCACGTTTCCTCTTCCTAGCCTCTGCCTGTCGCTGCTGTTCAGTGCGCGCGAGCCGGGCACTGCGATGGTTACTGGTTGCCTGGTACGTGCACCGAAAGCCCCAGTCCCGTGTTAAGCTCCTGCACTGTCCCTTTGCCTGGGGGGAGCTGGCAGTCTTGGAACAGGAAGCTCAGGGAAGTGCCAGTGAGGAGCACGTCTTGGAGGTGCTGAGATGCCTGTTTCAGGGCAGCCCTGCAGCACCAAGTCAGGCACCTCTCAGAACTGGAGGCACACCATGGCGTATTTGCTCCGGAGAAAACAAGTTCACTCAAAGGTCTCCTTTCAAGTACTGTTACAGAAGGAGATGGCAGGTCTCCCTAATGGCTCCTCACTCAGATGGAAAACTCCCACAGGAAGCAGTTCAAGCTTGTGTCATCTGCATCCCAAAAAGGCCTCGGATTCCTGATGACGCCTGTCAAGGGACTCTTAAAGCTGAGGCACTGTGAGAGCAAGCACAGGCTGGATGGCCTGCGTGCTGTGTCACACTGTGCTAACACGGACCCTCCTTCACCCCCGTTCCACCACACGTACATCAGCCTGACACCTGCAAAATTTTGTGACACACCCCCCCACCCCCAAAAGCACAGCAGAGAACACGAGGCCATCTTTGGCAGCTGACCCAGGGATAGCAGAAGGCACAACAGTCCTGGATCCAGGAAGCCACAACAGCCACAGCAAGCAAGCGCCAGCCTCACCGATCTGCAATCCACCGCCCAGCTTCCCAAGCCAGGGCTGAACAAGTTGCTTCCAAGCAGGTCAGCTACGGGGCAGAAGGAGGGAGATGTTCGGAGCACTACGAGGCCATCTTTGGCAGCTGACCCAGGGATAGCAGAAGGCACAACAGTCCTGGATCCAGGAAGCCACAACAGCCACAGCAAGCAAGCGCCAGCCTCACCGATCTGCAATCCACCGCCCAGCTTCCCAAGCCAGGGCTGAACAAGTTGCTTCCAAGCAGGTCAGCTACGGGGCAGAAGGAGGGAGATGTTCGGAGCACTGTCAGATTGAGGAATGCCTTGTACCGGGGTTTCCTGTTTCCTCAGTGAAAGGGAAATCAGGCTATTGCAAAATAAAACAGGAGTGGTGGTATCGACACCGGCTGCTTAAAAGGCACTAAACGTAAGGGGATTCTTTAACCAAAAACTGCCAGAAGGATGCTGGGGAGCCCAGGTGATTTGTCCTGTCCTTTGCAGGTCACCTGGTAAGGTATGAACTCCTGACACGTACACTTTTACTGCTCCTGACATACAGACTTTCAGGCTAAGCTAGCATTAGGCGAATAACATGATTTAAGCATCTCATTAGTTCCAATTATGGGGCCTTATTTATTTTCTGAATTTGCGCTTTAAGCTTGGAGGGGTGGTGAAATTTGTCATAATGTCATAGCTGGGTCCTAAGCTCAGCAGGGGCCTTCAGGCACTGCAGCAGTACAAACCAGTAAATAATAATTTTTGGCTCAAAATTATTAGGAAAGCTGGGGAAAAGCATAAAAAAAATCTGCTTTCTCACCGCTTGAGAGTTTCTGAGCCTGTGGATCACTAGGTAATTCAGGAGCTTGTTCATGCTGAGCGGACTTTGGAGCTTGCACAAGGGCAGCATTTTAGGTGCCCAAGTCCTTACGTTCCAGAACTGAGGGAGCAGTTCTGAATGCGGCTGGGCTTTGCACAGGTCAGGCAACCCAGCCAGGCTGTCTGCTGGGTGGGTTTCTTTTTGCTTACGCACACTTACACTATAATTTAATGTTTGCAATACACAGGAGGATAACAGAATTTAAATAAAGTAGCTTAAAAGCTAAACAACGGAATAAAGATTTTAAAACTTACTGAAGTACCACTTTGGCCTCTTTTTAAATACCATGTCTGTAGGACAACAGCATAGAAACGGTTACAATGTCATGCCTTTTCATAAAAGATCTGAACAAGAGTCCAACAAAAGAATACTGTTTTTATACCTAATCAGCTGTAATGAAAGAATATGAAGAACTGTCATGTGCTTATTAGGGGAAATTATCAGATATTCTTTTATATGATGAACTAACACACTGTGCTGATAATTCTGTAGTGCACACTAAATTACAATTAAAGGCCTTTCTGCTCCACCAAAATCTCATTTATAATCTCTATGGAAATACTCTTCCTGCAGTTATTTAATTTATGCTTCCTTTATCTAATTACTATAATATTGGTTCTGAATCATATTTTCTTAATGTACCCTTATTCAATTATAAAGTTATTTTCAAGTACAGTTACTTTGTAATACCAGGTATATTGCTCTGCAGCCATTGTCATTCACCATACTATTTAACTGGCAATGTTTTCTGAAGGTTTCCCTTCATTTCAAAATCAGCTTTTTTTTCAAAAAGCACAATGCATCCAATTACATTTTTCTCATCATTTTCAAGACAGAAATGAATGGTTTGATTATTGCAACCTTGCAATCAGGCTTCTCTCTCCGTCCTTTGTTTTTTGCAGGCACTAATGTCAAGAGCTCAGCAGAAACCTCCCAGGGAACAGCAACATTCTGGGCTGTACAATGTTCTGCTCCTGCCCCCACAGCTACATAAATTTTCTTCCCTCACAAATTCCTTCCTACCCATGTTTCTTTTCATCTTCCCTCTCTTTTTTCTGTGCTGCCTATTCATATATTTTCATCTCCGGTTTTAATCTTCTTAGTCCTTCAAGTATGCTGTATGTGCCCTCTAAAGGAGCGGTTAATACACAGCAGAGCCTGCAGCTTCTTAAAAGCAACAGGACCTCTTCAGGAGGCTGAATTTTCCTAACATCGAAGTGCCCTTGGGTCACACTGGGAGCTCAGGGTGCCCATGACTGAGTCCACTATAAACTTGTTATAATGTCAGTGATGTCTCAAATGCCTTAGGCATTTCAGGAGCCAGGGCTGAGCCTGGTACCTGTGCAGAAAAGGAACGTCTCTCACCCCGTGCACAGCTGTAGGCCTCCTGCTCCGGGTGGCTGACGCAGAACCAGGAAGAGCAGCCTGCCTGCTACTGCACAGCAAGCGTCAGGAAAGGGACGGGACCCTGGATCCCCAGGGCAGAACTGGCCAGACCACGCCACAAAATCGGGGACTGCGTGTGGTCTTACACTGAGAGTAATGCAGGGAAGGAGGTGACCGCATGCACTCCCTGTGTACAGGGGCTGACCCTTAGGGCTGGTGCTGGCCTGCGTTACCCTGCAGCTACTGCGCTCTGAACTTCCACGCCTTTGTGCATACGGGGCGTGCAGATAAACCTCTGCACTTCTGAAGGGTGCACACGCTTAATTCATATTCTCACTCAGCTCCAGTCTAGGTGAACAAACCTGGAAAAGACCGTAACACACCAGAACTGGCGGGCTATCTCCCCTTGTTATCCTTCCTTCTCATTCTGGCAGAGGCAGAATCCCTGGCAGAGACCCAGAGGCACCAATTTGAGGATGAAGAGAACAAGCCCTTTAATGGTAAGAAGCCGACCGAGTACTGTGTGCTCTAGTGTCGGTGGGAGTCACTCGGGAACGCAGACACCTAGTCTGAGCCACTGTCACTGAACGGAGCTCTGCAGGCAAACCACGTGGGCTCAAATGTGAAGCAATGGTAGGGCTGCCATCAGCATACAACAGGTTCCTCTAACACTGGTTCTGCCTTTGTTGTGCAGCCCAGAAAACAAAGTCTGTGCCTCCGGAGTCCTCCCTGACCAGAAAAAGACTGAGCCAAGCTCCCAGCTTTGGTGTGTAGTGAAGCTGGAAAATCTCACCATGAGTCGCTGCCTCTTCATTTGTACCTTAGTGGGGACCCTGTTCCATTTGTACAGCAGCATATTTAATAAGTAAAAAATAGGAGTTCATTAAAAAGAAATTTATTTCTTGCTAGGAAGTCTTTGCTTTAAATGCCCATTTTCAAACATTATATGTGAAAATTCTCAAGTCCTGCAGTGGGTCACTTACTAAAAATTTGATTTGAAGATCAGCCTACAAGTCATAAACAGTCTCATGAAGACGTAACTATCATCATAACTTCCTTTTTCGCAGTTGGAAATGCAAGATGAACTGTTCTGAAGCACCTAAGGTATGACTAATGCTTATTTGTTTTACAAGAAGCTTTACAGCTGCAGTGTTCCAAGAACACTTAAATTCAATAAACAGCTATTATAACTCACGGAATGGTGGCATTTCCTCTATAAGAAAACATAACCTATCCATTCTGATTTTTCAGAATCAGTAAAAAAAACTTTCAGGTATATTACCCCAAAGTGAGATTTAAACAGCTCCTGCCTCCTTGGCTGTATAAACAGCACATCCAGATTCTCATATTCTAAGTTGATGAGGCAACACTCCATACAAATTATTTTGATGCCTTTTTTTTTACTTATGTTACAAGTGATATTATTTGGCATGTTGTACTATATTACAACTCCTGAGGCAGAGGATTTAATGGGTGTGATGGTCCCTCTGGGCAGATCTGAAATTGGTGCATATAAACTACATTATTTTACTACTGCATGACATCCCCCAAATGTATCCACATAAGTTCTCACCTGTCTTTCCCGGTTTCCCGTTTAAACAGGTCATCAAACTGAAGCATCTTGTGGCGAGAAATCATATATGCTTTTAACTGAGGCAGTATCTGGTTCATCAGCTGCAGGTTATTATACACCAAGCCTTTGCCATCTCTTCTCATGTAGCTGCTGGGACCCCAGAAGATAAACACAGCACCGTGGCTCATATTTAAGAGTTCATTGCGATTGCGCAAAATCCTCTGGATACTGGAGTGTGCAATGACTCGAAGGCTCGTTTTGTTTCCCACGTCTCTCCCATAACCCCGCGTAGGTGCATCATTCATCCGTATTACGCACTCCGTCTCATCAATTCTGTCACCTTGTTTGCTTCCCAGAAGGTGTCCAGAGCTGGTGACCAACGCACAACTCTTGCAGTGCATTTTTAGAGGCTGCAAAGACATACACAGTTCAAAATTAGCTGTAAACACCTTCCCGATCGCTACGTGACAACTGCGTTTTACATGTACATGGCGTATTTTACAGCAAAAATCTCAGGAGAACTTTACATAAATCTCGCCCAACAGTCTGCCCAAGTAACTGGGGACACAGTACCTGTGCATCTGTAGATGGGGAAAACGAGGGAGAGGTGTACAGCCCTTAAAGTTACTCTGTGGTTTAAATCCTCCTTCCCACTGCTGCATCACATACAGTAATCACAACAGCTCCTATACTGTTCCCAGCTGCATAGCACTGTACTTCTTCCACTTGCCATAAATGAGCTATAATTGGAGTATTTTTGATTCTTCCTCTTCCATTTTTTTTTTTGGAGGACACAGTCAGTTGTAAGTCCTTGTAAGCACAGGTGCGAGTAGCTTTTCAACCTTGGGGTCAGGACATTTTGCTAAGGGAAAACAGTTATACCCTGGTCCAATCCTTCCACCCCATCTCCAGGTTGGTGTCGTAACCACTGCGATGCTCTTGTACCTCCTTTGTGGTTCAGC